TACGGTTCATAATAAGATTTTCCAGTTCGTTTACTTCTCTGGCAACGTTGCACAAGTCAATTTTACGTTTTTGTTTTTTGTATGCAACTGATCATTTGTGTGATCGAGTTGTGAATTGTCATGTATATATATATATATATATATAATGTTTTTTAGCAATTTTGGAATAAAGAACTACTTTTTTGAAATCAAAAAAGATTCTGATTTATATTTCTATGTAAACGTTTCAGAGATTATGAGCATGAATAGACTGGGAGGAGAAGTGTGGCATACCGGCCACTCCTGGATGTGTCATTCCTAACATGGAACTGTGCAACGAAAATTTCTCATGTTCATAGAGTCAACATACCAGTTTCATGCTTCCATGTTTTATTATAACTTGCGCTACAGGAATGTGGTAACTCGTGAGCCAAAATGTGTTAGAAACATTCCCCTGTGGCCTGAGCAACCATATCTCAGACAATACCCAACTAATTTGTATTGCTTGCTGCTTCTTTCCAGAACTGTGAGCCTAAAGTAGATAAAGACAGCAAAAATGCATTAATAGTATAAATTGTTGACATCTTGAGCAATCTGTTTTTATGTCCCCTTTGAATATGAAGTGATTCAGTTCACTGAAAAACAGTGTATAAATTCTGTTGTATGTATCCCCACCATTCAAAAACGAGGTACACAAAATGCTGGTCTAGTGTTGACACATCAGTTTTTGCCGACATGTAGAAACATATCGGGAAATGCACCAGCCTGCCATAAACCACAGCAGTTTCTCAACCAACACAAAGCATTTTGTTCACTCAACAAAATACATTCTACTTTGCAAGGAGTTAAAACTTAATGTATTTTATGAGTTTAGGTCCACTCGCCTTCCCTATAAGTGCAGTTCACAGAGCTGAGATACATTTACAAGAAAATTCGGATTATTTTCACACCTTCGACAGCCAAATTAGAATGATTATTTAAATTGTATTTGTCAAAATATACAGAGGCTGTTCATTCATGTAAATTTAGGCTCATAAAGCTGCATATAATGGTACCTATGATTAAGAAAACAACATAAATGATGAAAATGCTGTGATGACTTTTGCACATATGTCTGAATTGATGTTCAAATATTTTATTTTGGCTTTTTGGAGAATCTTACTGGTCGTTTAGTGCATTCTAGTATCTCTGTAAGTTATGAAGGTAACAGCTGGGGTGTCTGTGCTTGTCTCTTTCCGAGGTCAGCGCACATTTTGCTGCAGTAAACCCAGGGACACCTACTATGTATGTGCTCCTAAAAGCTGAGGCTGCATGTTCCCGACACCACAGAAAAAATGATCCTAAACACACGAGCACAGCAGCGTCTGTAACGAGGTGTTTTTTGGTGAGAATAAACACAGATGCTTCTTTTTGGTTTGCAGCTGTTAGCTCAGGTCTGCAGTAGCAGCCTGTCTTCCTGCAGCAAGATGCTGTTGTGTTTTTTCTTTTTTTTTTTTCTTATTGCAGTTCTGGAAGAGTTCCCACTGCTGCTGCATTGATACTCCGGTGGAGGGGCCTGGAGAGGAGAGCGGTGAGCCTGCAGCACGGCCATATTAGCGCTCATGTTAACTCCACACCCTAAAAAACACCCTCCTCTCTGTTTAATCATACTACCTAAGAATGATGAATGGATGAAATAGAAGGATTAGGTCCTGTTAAAACAAACAAAAAGGGGAACCGTTTCATTTTCATCAAATCAATAATAGTTCATTAATAGTTCATTCATTAACTGATTTTTAACAATTATATTTCTCTCCTTTTGCATGAAGGTTGCGCAACTCAAAGCTATTATTTAGATCGGTTGAGGTTTTGGTTTAAACCATACAGTGCTAACAACCTTTTCAGGTCAGCCATGTTCACAGGACTTCCTTTTTTGGCTCTCCCTCATCAGTCAGAGGCCACGTTTGAGTACTTATCACTGCAAACTGGGCAGAAATTCTCCAGCCTCCTGCCCTATTCTTGACTTAATTGTAAGACTTGTGACCCCCAGTGTTCATGAGAACATCTGCACGTTGACTAAAACAAACGTCATGTTTTAGAGGGTGTTGTAGCTCTTGTTAGAATATATTTATAATCCTAATTCACAGCAATGCAATTTCTAATCTTAACTAATGTTCTTGCTGAAAGTAAACGACAAGGAACTGATACTTTCTTTGTAAAATGTTGTGTTTCCATGCAATTTAGATCCAAAAACAGCAAAACAACCCAACAATTTTTCTATTCCAAATCAAGTCATTAAAGAAACGTATTGTCTCAGAATGTCAGGGGACTCTATGGCCACACCAAACTTCTCATACGCCAAAGTTTTGCTGAAAAACTGCAAAATCCACCTTTAGTCCAGGTTGTCCATGCAATGTGGAATCTGCTCGAGTTTCTGGGGGTCCAAAGGTACAATTTAGGCGTAAAGTTGATGTGGAAACTACAGACAATGCAAATATGGCAGCAGATGTTAGTCTCCAGTCTCTAGTGGATGTTGCCAGAAGTAAGTGGCAGGTGGGAATTTCTTTCTCTGGAATATCAATTATCGGGATTTACGACGACCATCTTGTCGCCTATGCATGCGTGGGTTCTATCTGAGTGTAAACAAAATATCTTAGGCTGCTTGGTGACTCAAAACAGACCCTAGGAGCGAGTAGGATTGTGTACAGTTGTCTGTCCCGTACCTTCCATCTTGCCTAATAAAAGCCGTGATAAGCTTCAGCACCCCATGACTCAGCTTGGAATAAGTGGGTGTAGAAAATGTATGGATATATATTCTGTTCCACGGTTTGGGTATGACTTAAATTTGACAGGAAACAGGAATAAGGCCGTGTGCTTGACCTCGCATCGCTGATGAGGTGTCCGTCATGTTGATTTAACTCAAGTCTGTCGCATATAATGTCTCCTGGGCTAAAATTATTAAAGCTTCACGCGTGGTGTATTCCATCTGTTTTTGGAATTTTATTTGTGAATAATGGATCTGTTATATGAAAATAAATCTCGTTCAAGCACGTTTTTTAGTCTGCAAATTTAGATAGAATGTTTTAGGACCTTGTGAGATGCAAAAATGTACACATATCTCCCTCTAAAAAGGATAACTGTGGTAAAATGAAGAAAAACACAGCCAAATATTCAGTGCAGAGTGATTGAGTAGCTGTTCCTGTGTCCTCTGCTGTGTAACTGTACCTAGACAGGTTCAGTCACATGGTCACAGCAGCATTTCCACTCTTGTCTGTCAACATGAGCCAGCATCATTTTAACTCTGAAATCTGTGAATCAGCCCATTATCCGGCCTGAAATGGACCGATCCGATGTAAAATCTCCGAGCTAAGCACTTTTTCTGCATCACTTCCGGTCGTAAATAATGCAGCCACAATGCATCACTCGGCTGGTAGAACTTTTATGGGAAATGTTCTGGCCTGTCAAGCAAGATGATAGCACTCGCTGATCAATATTTTCTTTCACAATCATCTCCTAGATGGTGAATAGTACTTTAAGTTGGCATTTAAATGTAACCGATAACTGCAAATGTAATTATTTTAACCGGAGACAATATGGACTTTGGCAGAAGATAAAGGAAAGAGAAATTAAACCAAAAAACAATGTACTAAAAATGTAGATTTTCTCAAAAACTAGCATAGCTTTCATAGTTTTAGTGCAATAAAAATGTATTAATTCATTTCCCAATTAATTTATTCATTACATTTTCTTCTCTGACTGAAATCATCCGATGCTGAGAAAGATGACGTGAAAGAAGCAATCATTTTTTTATGAATGGGGCGTTTGGACGTGGGACTCTTGGCCGAGGCCCCTGACGCTGTAATAACGCTTCCTCCCCCTTCCTCCCCCTTCCTCCCCCTTCCTCCCCCTTCCTCCCCCTTCCTCCCCCTTCAACCTGCACTGCAGAACTTTTCTCTCATCTTCACCAACATTCTGACAAAAGTGCCTGAGTCTGCATACACGCCCCGAGTCAGGAGATGAGGGGGAGGAGGGAGGATGGAGGAGGGAGGAAAGGGGGGAGAGCCAGAGAGGAGGAGAGACTGGGGCTGGCTGGTTGGGGGAGAGACAGAAAATGGGAAGGACGTGGAAGGCAGGTGAGGGAGGGGAAGTGGGGAGATGAGGAGAGAAAACTCTTGGCGTGCGGCCAACGGGAAAAAGTTATCAGACAGGGGGGGGGGAGAGGTATGGTCAGGGAGAAAATCTAACTCTCTGGAGATATTGGAGAAAAAAAAGGCTCTCCGGTGCCCCGTTTTTTCTGTTTATGTGTTTCCAGCTTTCTTTCCGCCTGTGCCACCCTTTCCTTTCTCTCTCTCCTCTGGAGTCGCCTCTCGTCCCGGGTAGGTCTGCAGTGAGAGGATTCTCCTTGAATGAACTCTGGCTGTGCGCAGTGAGCACATTTGCCGCTCTCTCTCCCACTCTGACTCAGCTGAACGGGCGGCCGGCCCGCCGCTGACCACCGGCCGCAGGAGCAGGTAAGCGGTCCTAAACCTCCTCTGCAGAATAATGCTTCCATTCCTGTTGATGTACCGTCTCAACCTTCAGATTTTGAGGTATTTAGCATGCACTAAATCGCCTGTACAGGAAATGCATTCAGCTCGGTTAATAAAGTCCAACTTTGTATTGCCCAGTTTAGTTTGCCCTTTTACATCAAATAATGTGTTCAATTGGTGTTATGCAGGTATGCTCTGTATGGAAGCTCATAATGATTCTTATCTATTAACCGTTTCTCTATGTGCTTGTCTTGTGTTTGTCTCTTTTTTTTTTTTTGCTCTGCCCTCTGTCTAACCTGCAGCCTTTTTCTATAGGCAGAGCATTTGGAGCTTTTAAAGAAAGTTTGACAGGTCTGCGATCATAAGTGCCTTGTTTGGAGTTCGGTCACCCAGGTTCAGCCTTAAGACGTCCAGAGTCTCAAAAAAAAGGCTAAGCTGCTATAAGGAATACTATAAGGCTGTTTGGATCGGATCCAGTGGCGCCGTTTGATTCTGGGGGAAAAGCTTTCTGCCATGGAGGTCCAGTGGGTTGGGATGGAAACCCTGAGGCAGGGCGCTCCAAACGTGGCCGTCACCCTGGTCTTCACTTTGCTGCTCGGTAAAGTCCGTCTTTTTACTTTCTGTGCCCATTCTTCATTTGATGTGCAGCCCGTCTGACGTAGCTAATTTGTAAAAAGCATCCTGACGCTGCTCTGCACACATCGCTGTGTCCTTGTGTTGTGAAGAAAAGCATGATGGCACTGTGGCTTTTCTTTTTTAAATCAAACACTGACATTTATTTCTCACGTCATACTCTCTCCACATAGTGTTCTAGTATGAGTTTTGCTCGGTGAGATGGCTGGTTTTACTGGTAAAGATGAGCCTTATGAAATCATTGTTTCCCCTTCAGTGTGATGAGTTCTGCTGTTGGCTCTGCCTGACTTCAGACAGTAAACATAAGGCTAAGGTGGTATAATCTTTAAGTGATATTGGTTGTGATTGATACCTCATTTGGCATTGGAAGGAATGGTCTGTTGAATTAAGTGTGATGGACAGGCCGTGTCATACATTGGAGTCATATAGGTTTATCTGGAGAGACAGAGAGGCAAAATCTATGGAAAGAATGTCAAGAAAACCATCTTTAGTTATTTTAATGTGACTTGATATTTAAAAAAGTCTTGAATATCTGAACACACTTACAGTTTTACAGTTATATCTTGATGTGGTACTGAGAATGGTAGATTTGAGGATTTGTTTACCAATAGTACTATCTACTTTTATACTGAAGATATGTCAAAACCTTTAACTAAATACGTGGCTTCAAGTCTCTAATGTACAATCCAACTGTTTCACATTCAGTTAAGCAAAATTAATTAATAATTCAAAAACATATTTGAAATGCTGACATCACAGTTTATTGGTTCACACAAGATATTTCAGGTGCAAGTTGTTGGTTCTCTTTTATTTTCTTTATCAAGAATAAAGGAAAAATAATTTGTCCCTTTTAAACAAAAGCTGCACAGTAGACTCAGTAAACTCTGCATGGGCATGCAAGTAGTTGAAAAAAAGATGCTACAGAAGATTAAACACAAAGCAGCATTATTGTGTGCTGTTATGTAATGCACTCAGTGTGGTTAACAGCATATATATTTTTAAATAGGGATACATTTGTGTTGTTTCGCACTACTGAAGGAAATTAGGCTCAAGTGGTTAATCCCACTGTTAAAGCCAACTCTCATTCCCTCTTTATGCTTATTTAGTGAATTTGTTTCCATAACAGATCTTTATGGTTTGAATATAAGGATGTGACATATTTGGGCTAGAAACTGGAGCACCACTGTCCCATTTTTTTAAATCCAAATGACCAAGACTCCAAAGTTTTAGTCCTTATTTTCTAAATAAAATAAAATAAAATAAAATAAAATAAAATACATTGAATTAAATTAAATGAAATTAAATGAAATGAAATTAAATGAAATTAAATTAAATTAAATTAAATTAAATGAAATGAAATTAAATTAAATTAAATTAAATTAAATTAAATTAAATTAAATTAAAAGATTGGATAACATCCTGGATTTTTTTTCACAGCAGCTTCAAAGTGATGGAAACTTGTTGGGATGAAACTAATGAAAAACTAAATGGGCAAAAAAGAGAAAAAAAAGGGAAAGAATGAACCTCACAGCGGGACGATGCTGCTGCCCTCTCGTCCCTTTATGCATCACGTTTCTGCAAACTCACTGTGCTGCATCGGAGCCGCCGAGGGAAAAAAGATTGGGATGAGCCTTGATCGATCAGATTCCCACTCTCACAGCGTGTCTCTGCTTATCTCAGCTGTGTTTCGTCTGTGAGCGCCGCCCGCCCGGTGCTGACCTTGGCGTGTTTGGGAGTGTAAAACCCCGGTGTGTGTTTGGAACTTATGAGGAATGTGTTTCCTTATTTCTCCAGCCACCGGTCACATTGAGGCCCCGTGTGGCGTCCGTCCTTGACCCGCCGGAGTGATTTACTGGAGCATGTCTGCTGTCAGGGAGCTAAAGTGTGAAAGGGAAGGACGGGAAAGTTTAGAAAAAAATTAAACGCGGTCGAAGGGAAAAAGACGATTAAAAGCAATATTTTACTGACCGAGGCTTCCTGAGGCCGTCTGACCTCTCGGAGTCTAGTGTTACAGTTTTAGAGGCTAATGTCACAGGAAGGACGAGGTGGTGTTGTGTTACTTATGTATCCAACTGTCACGAGCCAATAACTGTAAGCCCATAAAGGATGTACGTTATAAGCTCAATTCATTAGTAAATATTCAGGGTCAGAGCTGTTTAAAAGATCTGAATCATCATTGGGCCACTTAGATATATTAGAATTTAAATTTGGAATGTGATTGTTCGGTTTTATATGAAGTAGATTGTTCGATGTCCACTTAAAAGGGATGAGGGATCTTGTTCACTATTAAATCTAAACAGTGTAAGTTCAGTTTGCACACACTCTTTAGTTTGGAGTTTCTATTTCGCAGCATTTCCACTTCTAACGTTTGTATCTGTATCTAAATTGTAGACATTAACCCTATAACGCCAAATGTATCCTATCTGATGCATACGGTTTCTGAAGTCTTTTTGGATTTGAGACTTTTTGCATCATTTTGTGGTAAAAGCTTTGCTCAAACCCCTGTTGTACACATTCAGATATACCTGATAACAGCCAGTAGAAGACTACACGGAAATATATTTTTGACTTATTGCACGCTAATTTGATCAAAATAATTCTGTTTTTTTTTCTTCATATGTTGTTGAGGGGCCAAAAAAAGACTTCAGACTAAAAAAAAATCCAATATTCTTCCTATTTTTCTTAGATCAGGCTTTAAAGGGTTAATGACTTGACAATGTATTTTGCCAACCCCATGTTGAACCAACTTCCCTGGGGAGTTTTCTGAATCCTTTCTTTGTCTATTCTGAACCCTCCCATGATGGGTTCATGCTTCTAACCTTATCTGTAGACACATTTGCATGCTTCAATTCATTGTACAAATTCAGATTACCAAGCGAGTGTGTAATTTTCCATATTTTTTACTAATCGAATCTCTTGATCTGGTCCCCTAGGTGTGTGGTCCGCTCAGGCCCTGGAGATGTCCGTGGGGAAGATCCCTTTCCTGGAAGCTGTGAACGGCAGCACCGTGATGCTGCCCTGCACCTATGCCAGCTGCATCGGCATCAAAAACCTCTACTTCAACTGGCAGTTCAACGACAACGGCACCATGGTGAAGGTAAGAGCCCTCCGCGGGAATCACAGATTCCCTCTCGGCTTATAAAAAAAAAAGCCTTTCCGTGGTTGTTTTGTGGATGACGGACCTATAGCTGCTCCTCCTATAGGTGTGCGAATCCGTGATAGCCACGGAGACCGTGACGCCAGACGTGAGTATATACCGAGAGCGCGTGGATTTTATAGGGAAAAACCGGGAAAACAACATCTCCATCTTGTTGTGGAACATCACCTTCGAGGACGGCGGCCTGTACACTTGTTTCGGACGCAATCCCAAAGAGAAGGACAAGAACCACAGTGCCATCTTCCACCTTATTGTGGTGGACGAGCGTAAGTGCTCGAAATTTGAACCAAAACATTATTATTTTTTTTCTTTCCACAAGAAAGTTGTTTGATAAAATACCGTCTCCATCATTTTTTAAACCGCCAAACGTCCTTACCCCGTTAACTAAATACTGCAGTTGTCAGGAAAACTGTTGAATCTACCAGCTCTTCCCATAGTTCAGCTTATTGTGACATAAGAAATGGCCAATTACAAATGTGGAACAAGTCACTGGGGCTTTCTTGATGCCGCCTTCATATGCACACCGAAGTAAAAATAAAACCGAACGTGCATTTTTATATTGTTAAAGGTGAAACAAAATGGGGGAAAATAGGCCACATTGGCATTGAGCGTAAAACACGGAGATAAAGTTCTGCTCTTGAAAGCATTTCTTTTATTCAGAGGCATTGACTTTTATCTGACTCCTATCTAACATTTTAAAATATTCCCAGTAGTTTATAAAAACGCTGAAAGGATTAAAGGTAACTAGATTCTGACAGGTTGTGTGTATTTTATAGAAGTTTGGTTGTGTGGTTATGTGAGAAATGAAGACTTCCTGACTGAATAAGACTGGAATGTACAATGTAGCCTCAAAAGCTTCATGTCTCTGTTTTCTCCCACCATCTTTGCTTCTTTAATTCCCCGACGGCGTGTCCAGTGAGGGTGGTGGACAACACCCTGACCATCATCATTGCCTCAGCGGTGGGCGGAGCCATAGCGTTCCTGATGGGCTTCATGTTGCTCAAAAACTTCACCCTCTTTGTTCTCGCCAAGCTTGAGGAGAAAAAGTGAGTTCTCGCAGCCGCTTGGATGTTTTTTAATATCGGTTTCACTCCGTTACATCAGATCTCAGAGTTGGTTTTTTCGGCAGTTTGCTGCACGTTTGAGATGTCCCTTTGAGATGCAGTGTTTTTTGTTTTTTTTACAGTTCTAACACCACTTCCTTTTGTCCTCTTTAAACCCCCCCTGCAGTAAGGAGTGCCTTGTGACTTCATCAGGGATCGACAACACAGAAAATGGCCTCTCAGGATCCAAAGCCGATTCAAAGCCGACGCCTAAAAAGAAATGAGATGTTCCACGCAAAACGACACGAGCACTCAAGTATCAATCTTGTTTTGCGTGTGTCTGCGTATGCAAATGCATTTGCACACATAAAAAGTCTTTACGTTCAATTTTTACTTTCACTACTCTGGCTGTGACCGTCAAAATGTGCACACACTTATACCAAATGTGCACTGAATAACAAACTAAACAGATGGCTCAGTCGTGCAAACATGATCAATAAACATGTGCACATCATTTGTACTGGATTGGATAACTTAAATTTCAATATGACTTATTTAAGATATCTAACTATCACTGAGCTTGACACATTCTTAAGATAAAGTCAAACAAAATAAATGGAGAGGGGCCTATTTAGCGAAAATATTCCAATTATTGCCATATTTATTTTAATGCCTAACATTGTTCCTCCCTACTAACTTTGATGTTTTCACAGCCTCCATACAAATAACTTGTTGAACTTTTGTTGGCTAAATAGTTACATGGGTCAATTACTTACACTCGTAGACCCGACTCCTTACGGTATTATGAATTTGTATGGGCATTCCCAAAGGGGAGGAAACACCATGTTTCCCTTCAGAGGCCATAAAACCTTCATAAAGCAGAAAGAGGTGGCACTGGATGGTTAAGTAACATGCGATACTTTTAGTTATTTAAGCATTATAAATAAGAATAGCATGAGATAATAATTTTCCAAAACTTCACAGAAAACATTTTTTTAATCATCTTCTCATTGGCTTTAAGCAATAACAAATATTGGTTACGTTCAGATGAAAATCATGGCTTGGGAAAAATTCCTTTACTTTTTCTACTCATTTGAAATCCTTTTGGATGTAACATTGTTTACATGTAAACTCGAGGAAGAGGCCACTTTTTTTGCTGGTTTAGTCCACAACTTGTCTTCGTGAGGTTTACGAATAGACATCCCCTTAATTATGGCAAGTCAAAGATCCTGTTTATGAATAAAATATATTCTTCTTACAATAGAACAGTCACTGTCATTTACAGAATATTTACTGTTCACAGGCAGTTGCTGCTCGATGCCAAATAGTTGGATTAAATTTAAGGTCTTGTGTGTAAGACGTTCTATTATTCAGATTAAACCACAACCAAATGATGTGCCCATTTTATTTAATTATGTTTGAAGTCTATTGTGTGAGTTAACTAGTAAAAACAGTTTTTTGTCATTTAGCATGGCTGCTCACTGAATCTTGTTTTTCCATTATATACGAATGACTTACTTTTGTCACAGCCAGAGTATATATTAAAAAAATAATAAAGAAAATGTTTTAAATGTCAGGTCAAAGCAAAAACACTTTGAACACTTTAAGTACTTGAAACAGAGAAAATGCAATGTAACTCCAGCTGGGCTGAATCCTCTTTTTAGCAAACACCATACAGTATTTACATACTAACAGTTCTAATAATGACAAAGAAAATATCAGACTGTTCAGTTTCAATAACTTTTCACAAAAGATGCAAACAAAATGACACAAATATATTTCAAAAAAAGAAAACCGTGTACAGATAACATGCTTTATTCAAGCTGCTGCAGTATAGAAAAGGGGCTTTTAGTAATACTATAACAAAGCGAAATATTGTAGATTTATGCCCGGTTCTTCATCCTGTACCTTCTAAGCTTGAGATAAGACACAGGTGCCTGTCAGTGCATCCCCCCCCTCTCCTTTAGGTCAGATGCACACTGCGAAATAGTTTCTAAAACTGTGCGAAACATCAGCAACACATGAAGCTTTTGAGCTGAGATGATAGACTATCTCCGCAAAAAAACCCTTAGATGCTGCTTTCGAGATACATAAACAATATGCATGGATTCCAGGCATGTGCCACTCGGGTCAGATATCAGATTTAATGATAGAATATAGATACACATTTGGCCGTACGAGCTCTAATCTACCAGACCTGGCAACGTCAGATCTGACTATAGCTTTAAAACCCCATTCTACGCCATGCTAATTCCATTTTGCTAACCTTGGCTAAAAAGCTAATGATGAATCTGCAACCTCGGGTGTTGTATTCCCGGATTAGACTGAAAACATCCTTGGTCTGGTTTGAATTTATGATTTCATTTACTGCTCAAGAGTGAAAAAGATGAACCAGGTTACCCTGTGCACGCACTCATACAATGCACCACCCATAAATTAGCGTTATGGGTTAAATGGATACTGGATCAGATCTCGGCCATAAAGATGAGATGGGGGGGGGCAAAATTAAGAGAGGGATGGCACACATTGCTGGTAGTGTCTGTGCCAAACAGGGAAATGAATGTACATGCATCAAACTCAGTGAAATATTAAGATACGTTAGGCTACATTTGCAAATTTGAATCGGTTAAAGATTCAAGAAAGTGAATGTCTGGCTAAAAGATATACCTCTATAGTGGGACTGATGTGTGTGTTTGTGTGTGTGTGTGTGGGTCGGTAACACTGTTGATAGGTCTGATATAAAAGCATCCCCTGTCTCACTAGCTGGTAAATGAATCAATAAAGAAGTATACGTTTCTGAAACTAGCTGTAATTGTAAAAAAAATAAAATAATGTGCCTCCCATCCTTAATCACTGGCTTAAAGCAATAAAATAATAAAGGGGTATGTTGCACATTTTTAAAAGATGTATATTTTTTGTATGACATTCGTTTTGGTTTTTCACATTATCGACAAAAGTGGGATGAGAGGAAACAAAAGCTAAGGAGATCCCATTATGTGCTGTCAGGAGATAGGCGGTTTGATGTATTTCCATCCTGCAGATTGCAACAAATTTAGTTTGACTTCCTGTGAAATACATTTCTCCAGTATCTCTCCGGGAGTTCATGTTACACATAAAGCTGAAGTAGGTCCACCCACAGGTACCTCAGTGCACATCCATGCAACTAATGTTGTGTTTTTATCTGTTTTAGCATTAGCCAAAGATGGCAGCATTTTTTTTTTTGGAGTCATCCAATGAAAACTGAAAGAGATTAATTGTAATGTTTGTTCATTTTAAATGTATGACAAATGTATATCTGTCATGTGTGTATTCTCCCATGTTTTTGAATAGCTTTAAAGAGAAAATCCACCCTTGAGTAAAACTTAAATTGTATCGATAAGTCAAAACTTAACTCCACTTGAGCTTGGTTGTGACTGGAAATAGATGAAAAGATTAAAATGTGATGATTAAATGATAGAGGAATGGGTTTTCTCTACTTGCACAGGAGTATTTTTGTCTGGAGGAACTGATTAAAAAGCAGCGATTTGCTTTAATTACCATTAAAGCAATTCAAATAACGGAGGAATCGCAACCCTTAATTGTAGTTGTCAGTGTCTGTGTGTCAGTATGAGCCTTATGGTGATATTTCTCTATGCAAATCACAATAATATTAACTGTTTTGACAGTGTATCGCACGGCAATATCGAATTACTGTGTATTTGTGGGAATTTCAACTGTGTAACCCCTTAGATTCCACCAGATCCAGGGTAGGACCAGGGGGTCGGGAGGATGAGAGGGATGGGGAACATCTGGAAAGGAGATTTGTTTTAAACATTGAGCTGTATTACTCAGTCAGGACCCAGCGAATCACGCCCCCCCGCTCTGTGCTTAGCTGTGTGCTCCAACTCTCCATCTCTTTCTATTAAAAACATTAAAGCTAATAAAGTTTTGTTATACATTCTGTTGAATCATGCTGTGTTTCAGTGGTTTGGTTTTGTTGGAAGTACTGCCTCCTGCTGGGCAAAGGCCGGAAAATTGAACCAAACTTGCTTAAAACATGCTAAACCGAACATTCAGTTTAGAAAAAAAATAAAAATCATAAAATGTACAAATGTTTTTGGGATGTGTGCATCGATAACCACTGTGAAACAATCTCCAATCTCTATTAACTGCTCTCTTCTTACACAAAAATCCTTCTTAGCTCTTAAAAACACAGCTTGTTCACATTTAAAAATATTAGGTACATATTCCAGAGAGATGAGAATGAACATGTGTTCTTGTCATAGAGATATATAAAAAGCTCATTTTGTAAAATCTATATTAAAATGTATTCCTTGACTCTGTAAGTGCTTGTGGTTATTACATTAGGGTTTTATTTTTTATCTTAAAGATTGTCATCTCATGATTAAAATGACATAAATAACTTTTAAAAGGTCTGTATTGGATATGTAGAATCCAGATATCTGGGAGAAACACACTGAAGAAGAAAGGGAAACATAATAAATGTTATCAGCACAGAGGCAAATAACCCCATGTGGCACCTGCCAATAAATGGATCTAAATGTACCAAATTACCTTTTAAAATGATCATCCTTTATTGTATGGACGAGCAATGCACCACTTAAAAAAATTAAGAAAAATTCTTATTTTTCTTAAATTCTTATTCTAATTTGACCCTAACATTGTAGAGAATACACCGTCCAAATTTTCCGTTGCTCTGCATGTATAAAAAAGGTCAAATTGACCTTCTAAATAAGTATATGGAAAAAGAAATCTTGTCAATTATGTCTGACAGCTGGAATCGTAATATGTGGTCAAAACAAAAAACCAAAGGTCAAGCAATTAAGGCAGTCTGTCCTTCCTATTAAAATGAGTTGATCTAAAACTACTGACTTTTAGCAACCTGATTGGGGTGCAAAATAAATCTAAATATGATTTTATAAACTTTTATGTATATTTCTTCATATCTAGCTTTCTGCACACAGATTTTGCTGCAGTGACGTTAAACACCTGCAGAGGGCGCTAAAGGACTCTTTTTCTTCTATAAGTGTCCAAATCTAAAGACTTACAGAGTGAATGTGCATTAAAAAAATCACAATGACTTATAAATTAACATATTAAAAAAAGAAAATCATCCAAATGTCATCAAATTTGGCTGTAGTTTAGTAGTAGTTGCTGTAATTATGTAGTTTTGTCATAAAATTCCCTCTCAGTAACAAGTAATTTCAATAGTAAAGAGTCAATCAAATCCATTCTACCTTATGGCCACTCTTTTAAAATAATAATGATAGTATCTATTTATAATGACTAAATTTGGAAATAAAGAGGTTTATAATGAACTGATGCCAGAAATGGTGGGCAGCTGGAAAAAGCTGTTAAATGCTTGTATTGAGTTTCATTTTGAGCTGTCATGGAAAAATAAGGACAAAATAGTCCCAACGGCACTTTTTCCTCAGCTGGGACTAAGTGAGGACCTCCTGGGGTTGGCAGAGGAACCAAAGACATGGGCAGACGTCAAAGTTTTCAGGTAAACGTGTGTAGTTTTTGTATTTTTTATCTTCCAAAAATAAAACTTTTTTCTCTCTCAGCTTGCATATTAAAATAAACCGATTCATTATATGTGATGGTGGTTATTGTGTGATCATCTAAGCACTTTATTCCAGTTATGAGTTATGAGAAAGTGTCCCAGACACCTGGGATCTCCTTATTCCTCAAACTGTGTCGCATAAAGGTAGTTTATTTAATCACTGGCAAATATAACTTTACAGGTAAGTGGCTTCTGTGGTGGTTTCTGTATCTGCTCCATTCCTGTTCTGGAAGACATAGCCAGAGCTAATTCTGCTCCATTTTCAGAGTCATGGAGGGTGGAGTAGGATAGGGATGTGAGACTGGTCTGCCTACCATTTTATCCTGAATAGAACATGTTTTTTTTCGAGAAAAATTGGACCAAAATTGCTTTCTAGAAGCCATTTCATGGCTAACATGGCATGAGGAAATCCATATGCCATGTGCCATGGTGGGTTTACTTACGTGTCGTTTCTAAGTGTGACCAGCAGGTGTCGCCAGTGCGTAAAAAAGAAGTCACAGGTCAGATCAGACTGCAAAGGAAACTGAAGTAAAAGGTGGATTTAAGTTTAACTCTGGGGTATTTCAGTAAAGTGGTCATTTTTTGGTTTAGACATTTCATCAGAAGCATACCGAGGTCAGAATCTGTGACTTTTTAAACCTTGGGAGGACATTACAGCTTTTATTTCCACAAGACTCTGAGCTCTGATGGACTGGTCAAGATTTTAATGTCAAAGGAAGAAAATGCAGGGTGGATTAAAACATAAAAAAATAACTTTATGTTATTGGGTTATAGCAACAAAAGATGGAAGTTTCATGTCATGTTATTTTTTTGTTAGTTTTTAACAGAAAAATAACAGAGAGATGGTCGAATATTCAATCATCCTCTCAAGTTTTGGAAATGTCACCATTGTAAAAGGCCCAAAACATTCTCAGTTGTTTGACTTATCTGTCAGCCATAAAAAAAATCCTTTAAATGACTTAAATGTTGTTTTTTGTCTCTCTCTTCCTCTTGGGGCATGTCATTGGAATCTTCCTTCTGTGGGTTTTCACAATTTAACTGAAGCGGTTTCCCAGCAAAAAAGGGCCACTTTTCAATTCCACCACGAGCCTCCACGGTGACTCTAAATA